TTTCTCAAGCCATGAGCCCACATCCCCAAGTGAGTGTCCTTTAGAGATGTCCTGAATGCCACCCACACACCTCAGGCAGGTGGTGTCACCTACGGTCACTCCGTGGAGAGGCACAGAAGGAGGAAACAATTCCAAATAAAGAGTTTGTCTCTCTCATTGATTTTTTCATTATTTTCTAGTTGTTTAAAACAGTAGTAACTATGGAGCTGAAATGTCTGCCTTGCCAAGTTCAAATCAGTTACATGACATTGTGGGCCACTTTCTACATTAGAGGAATAAGGTAAAATTCAGAGCAAATTATTTTAAATTGTGTAGTACCCTGTCTTACAGTGTCTCCATAGTTCTTTGCTTTTGAAAGCAGAGTGGTGGTGACTGATCAGCAGCCATAATATCTTAACAATCCTGTGTCAGATTTTCTAGTTCTCTTACAAAAAGACATTTTACGTAATGAATTTTTCAGCCAGGAAAGAATAGGGCATAAACAAGTGGCCAATGTCAGACTGGACAAAAATGGAAATTCAGCCTAGTGTTTAAATGTTTTATCTACTTAAGACATTTACATTCTGTTCTTTTTTTATTTTTTGATTACATAACCAAAGACAGTTGGCAATCTTACATTTTTACTTATTTACAACAAAGTTGTCAAAATTAATCTTTTTCTTTCCATTTATGGTGGTGTGTGTGGGAAAAATGTGTTACTCCTTAAGGTCACTGGCACTTAACATATTAGCTTGAAACTTTACTTATCAATGAGTTGTAATATTTTGGCAAACCCTTTGTGAGTATTAAGCAACCAAAATTTCAAGAAAGTATGGTTAAAATATTTCCTCATTATGATAAATTATAGATGTGCTTTTAATGATATTCTAATTTGGAGCCTAATTTGATAGAAAGCACACCGTCAAACCTTCTTAACAAATATTTTTTGAACACTTACTATGAGCAAGGCTAAACTCTGTAGAGAATAAACAATGAATCCAGTCCATTCCCTGTGATCAATGAATGTACAGTTAGAGGGAGACAAGGCATAAAAGTAACTCTAATCAAAAGCAAGGTGGGAAGTGGCAAATACCCAAGGGAATTTGGGAAAGGCATGTACTACTTATAAGAAGAAATGAAAGAAGAATCAGGGAGGAGTTGGTGGCCTTTGAGTTATTTCTGGAAGGATAACATGCAAAGGGAAATTCTTCTATGTAGAAGAACAGTATGTGAAGTATAGTCATTTAGAGACAGCTTGTACTTCACTTATACAAGGTGGGACAATTAAGTTTGTGAACTCATCCTAGAAAAAGTGCTACAAGCCTCATTGCTGAGTCAAGTGCTATGGTCAACTTCAAAGTACTTCCCTTGGGAAGCTATGTACCGACACCAGTGCCTAGTCCACCCTTCAAAGCAATTTTGGAACTCTTTTTCTGGAACGGCCATCAAAGCTATTGTTGTATTACCCTTGATGTCCTGAATGTCATCAAAATGACTTCCTTTCAATATTTCCTTTATCTTCGGGTAAAAAAAGAAGTCACTGGGGGCCAGATCAGGTGAGTAGGGAGGGTGTTCCAATACAGTTATTTATTTGTTTGCTGGCTAAAAACTCCCTCATAGACAGTGTGCTGTGAGCTGGTGCATTGTCGTGATGCAAGAGCCATGGATTGTTGCCGAAAAGTTCAGGTGGTCTAACTTTTTCACACAGCCTTTTCAGCACTTCCAAATAGTAAACTTGGTGAACTGTTTGTCCAGTTGGTACAAATTCATAATGAAATCCCTCTGATATTAAAAAAAGGTTAGCAACATCGTTGCAACAAGTCTGCCAACTTAATTGTCACACTTTGTATATGGAATAAAAACTATTTGGAGGCTTAGCCTAAGGACTGAACCAAAGACAAACCTATTCTAACCACAAAATGCCCTTGGACATTTTGTCCCATTCTGGCCTGAGGGTATTTATGTCTGGAAAGATTTCCACCAAATATCTGTAACTTGCTCCCTGACCCCCTTGAGGTCTCAGTGAGATCTGTGACTACATTATTGAAATTTTTAGCGCCATTCCCATCTCTCTTCCCTGCTTTGTCTCTACTGTACTTATTACCATATAGTATATATTATTCTTATTTATTTTATTTGTTTTTTTGCCCCTCTAATGAATGCTCAGGAAGACATAGATTTTTGTATCTGCAAATCTTGCATAGTGCATAATGCATAGTATGTATTAGGTAGGTATGTGTGGCATGGTTGAGTGAAAAAACAACTATAGAGAAACAAAATAGTTCCAAACAGTTAAGTTTAAAATAATTTAGATCACAATACAGTTCTAAACTGAATACGCATGTTCTTCCCTGGTGGCAGACAGCTTTTGTGTGGCATAAATCAGCATATGATAGCTAAGAGCGCACCTATTAGCTGTGTAACAATGAGCAAATCTCCTGACCTCTGTGTCTCAGTTTCTTCATCTAAAAAATAGGGACAATAAGTCCCTACTTCATAGGGTTACTGTAAGCATTAAATGAGTTCATATATTTACATGTGTCTGGCATGTAGCCATTGCTATATAAGTGTTTACTCTTATTATTTACATTCATTTTTATAAACTTGAGTTTCTCCTTCCCATCCGTTCAGCCACCAAAGACTCTACGGACAGACCAGATCTTTTCAGCTCTCATAGCTGAGGTGTTGCTATTTCCTTCTGCGCTGGCTCTCACCCTGCCTCCTTTGTCTGACCCTTCCCCAGTGCTTGTCTTCAACTCCCCTACCTTTAGCACCTCACCCTAGTCACCTTTTCCCACCTTGACTTTCCTCTTCTATCCTTTGTGCCCACAGTTCTGGGAGAGGTGTATGTACTCAGCCAGCATATCTGTTCATCATTATCTTAATTAGCTTTGGTATTTCCCCTGGCATGTCTATTCCAAGGCATAATATATTCCTTCTGCTTTTCACTGAGTCACACGGAATTGTATTATCTGAATTTCATCATTCTGCAATATCCAGCCATTGTCATATCCTTTTTTGTCCCCGACTGTAAAATTCATTCTGTATCAATCATGCAAATAACAACAAAAGGAGAACCAAATTCTTGCTTAAGTGATTTTTAATTGACATTTTACCCACTTGCACTGATGATGAGAAAATGCTTCTCTCTTCTTGTCGACCCATTGCTTTGGCTTCCCTACTTCCACATTCTCAGTTTAGACCTAAGAACCTAACGGAGCCTGGACAGTGTCTTTTACATGTCGGAACAAACTATTTTCATGAAGTTTTGTCTCTTGAGTATCCGCATGTCTGGGGGCTCTTAAACAGCAGTTCAAGCGTTGTCTCTTTCCCATCCCAGGCCTTTGAGGTCTAGCAGAATAGGTCCACAGAGGCTCACCTCTGGGTCCGGTCCTTCTGGCAGAGGGAGCTGGATGCGTGCCTGTGACTTTTCCATCACTGGTGTCCATTGAGAAGCTCAAGGCAGCTGCACGGAGGCTCTCCATTTAGGACAGTTCAGAGAAGCTGCCTCCAGGTAAGAAGCGATCTCTGTTTAAGTAGCAGGGACTCACTTTGGGCATTTAACAAAACAGAGAAACATGTTAAACTAACCAATATTATATTTACATTAAAAAAAATCCTCCTTTTTGATGTAATGCATTCCTGGATTCAGCAGCCCAAAAAGAAAGAGTGAAAAATGGACTTTTTTTTTTTCCTTATAGACTTATGTTCACTCCATAGCTGACAGTAAGTTAAAAATACTTGGCTGGTGAGAAAGGTGAGAAATGGATGATTCAGTCTCTCCAAATAAAGAATCTGCTGCTGAAACGCAAGGCTGGTCAGACCCAGCATTGCAAGGAGGTGTTTTTAGGTAAAATTTTAGGCAAAATTTAAGGTAGTGAGAAGCAGGGGCAGCCTGAATCTAGACATAGCAACTTTTATAAAAGTGACACAAATGTCAACATGACAATTTTGTGGGGAAAAAAATTTAACTCTTCCTCCTAATTAGAAACAGAGGAGGACACATAACACAGCGGCTCTTGTTGGAAACCTGGCCTCTGTTTACCTAACACTTTCCTTTGCTTGGTCGCCTTGCCTAGTTTTAGAAAGCCATCGCAGGACTGTTTATGGCTGGCCAGTTCCTCTCCCGCAGCCTGCTTATTTTTGGCTCGGAGTCAGTCAAGGTGCTCACTGTGCTTATGATACCTCCCAGCTATTCTCAGCCCATTGTTTCAAACAGCTCCCCTTGGCATTTAGAGATGAATTTTGACTGTTTTTTTTTTCCCAGTGCTGACACTCCAGGCTCCACTGGGTTGAGAGTTTCTACTTTTGACTGTTAACTTCTATGTCCTTTTAATATTCACCTCTTATACTGTCGTTTTTATTTTTTGCCACAACCAACGTTCTTTATATTTTTAGATGAAAAATTTATTTTAGAGTAGTTTTTCAAAAATAAGAAAAGTGAAACTATAGTATGGGAGTTCCCATAAATCTATATCACCCAGTTTCCCTTGTATTATAATCTGATATTAGTATGGTATATTTGGACCAATGTTGATATATTACTCTTCACTGGAGTCCATACTTCATTAAAATTTTCTACATTTTTTCTTAATGTCCTTTTCCCCTTCCAGAATCCCATCTGAGTTAACCACATTACATTCAGCACTCATGTCGCCTTAGGCTCCTCTTGGCTATGACAGTTTCTCAGACTTTTCTAGTTTTTGAAGGTCTTGACAGTCTTGAGGAGTCCTGGTCAGGTATTTTGTAAAACATCCCTAAATTGGAATATATCTGATGTTTCCTCATGAGTAGGCTGGGGTTATGGGTGTTGGGAAGAAAACCACAGAAGTTAAGTACCATATTCATCACATCTTATCAAGGGTCCATGCTATCAGCACAACCTATGATTGTTGAAGTTTGCCTTAATAACCTGACTGAGGTAGCGTTTGCCAGGTCTCTGCACTGTCAAGTTATTCTTTCCCCGTTTTCACTTTGTACTCTTTGGAAGAAAGTTCCTATACACCGCCCATGCTTAAACCGTGAGTGGGAAATTATACTTCACCTCCTTAAAGGCAAAGTATCTACATCAATTGTTTAGAATTCTACAAGGGAGGTTTGTTTATTTGCCATTCATTCATTCCTTCACTCACTCTGATTTAAAATTTAATATCAGTGTGCACTTATGGTTATATGCTTTATATTTTGGGTTATAATCCAATCCTTTGTTTATTTTGTTGCTCAAGTTAGGAACAAAGTTTATTTTTAAGGAGTCACTTGTTACTCCTTCTCACCGCTTCCCTTAACATTCTTGATTATTATAAGCTGAATTGTGTGGTTTAGAGAGTTCAGACCATATCACCTCAACTGTAGAGAGCTATTTACAAAGGTTTCTTTCAGATCCTCCCCTTTTTTCCTCTTCTGTGATCTCGAGACATTTCCAAAAATAGTTTATGCTTAGAACCCTTCTGACGGAAATTCTTCCAGTTTTAGAAAGCTGCCCAAATTCACTGGATAACTGTCCCACCTTCTACTCCACTTTGCCAGTTTAGTTAGTTTTCATCATGTCTTCTGTGTAGCATCTTGAGCATTGGCACTCTGTAAATATGATACGGTAATCAATGCAAGGCACAAAGTATTCACCATTGAGAAAATATTAAATAGAAGAAACACAAAGATGTCAAGATACAATAAAATTATCTTTTCCTTCATAGCTGGTTAATTCAGTTTCAACTTTCCAGATATATAAGACAGAACATCATATTGTCCAAAATATAATGAAAATATATTTCCAGAAGGCTTTTTGAGAGCAAATGGACATTGTGAGCTCATAAATCAGTTGTACATTGTACACTTTTCTTTATTGTATTTTTTCAAGTTTATTCTGAGCCAGAAATGTCCGTGTGACCCCATGTGACTGAGGTTCTGAATTGTTTACTTTTCCACCACATTCAACTAGTTGTTTATTTTTTCCTGAGGAAGGCTTGGAATTATTTGACTAACATGCTCCATCTCTTATAATGGCCTTCACATATTCTTCTCTGTTGACTTACCAGTTATATGTGCCATTTCCATGATTAGAAATGGCGCTTAGAAAATCTGTAATTATGTCCCAGGCAAAATACCTTTTAAACGCTGTTCCACGGGCTCACTGGAATCCAGGTTTCTTTAGGAACCGTTTCTGCCTTGTTTAGTAGCGGTCACTGGGACACTTTCTACAGGAAAAGAATTAGGTGATCAGTGAGCACTTCTGACTTCCTCTTGTTTCATCCTGGCTGCCTTATAGTTGATATCCTTAGTCTGTCTGATGGGTGATGTTTGCAAAGCTAGGCCACTCTTCTGTGACTTCACTGGGGCTTCGTGGTTTATTGCTGCTCCTGCCCAGCCTTTCTGCTGGGGGAGCAGCACACGTGCTCCTGTTCTGTGGTCTTGCAGTAAATAAATAAATACATACATACATACATAAATACATACATAAATAAAATTTTATTTATGTATTTATGTATTTATTCATTTATTTATTTATGTATTTATGTATTTATAAATAATTCGTTTATTTTTTATTCCATGGCTCATTTCACAAAGGATTTGAAAGTGCCAGCCTTCTAGTTGGCATGGCTATTGGGCTCATATATGTAAATGTTATAGACGTGATGTCTGATTGCCCATCTATGAGCCTCACAGCGTCTGTGGTGGAGTACAAGAGTATACAGCTAACTTTATCTTGTTGCTGAAATCGGGAATCAACTTTATTCTTAAAGATACAATACTGATTTCCCCCATCCCTTCCCTTAACATTCTTGGTTATTGTAAGCTCAAGAGTCTGCCTTAGAGAGTCGTGGTAGTGTCAGAGGCAGCACGAGGAAAATGGGAACAGTACTTGCAAAGGGGCCACAGGTGTGGTAGGAGAGCTTCTCAGCATGTGGGAGGCTGGCAATGCCCACCACGGGCTAACCCTCAGGATAGAGGTACACGTGCCTGCTCTCTCAGCCCCAGAAGCACTGGAGAAAGGCTTTGGGTTTGGGGCCTGGTGTCCTGGCCCCAAGCAGTTCTGGGTTTGCCTCCAGCTGCTCATGTAACCCACCACAAGTCACTTCAACTCTGGACCCCTGCTTGCCTCATTTGCAACTAAGCGGGTTGGACTAAGATACTCTTAACTCCAAGGTCCTGTGATCCTTTAATAGATTTTGAAAACTGTTCACAAAGGCGCCTTATTTGCCAAGATTTAATTTTGTGGATATAAAAAACAAAGATACATTTAACCATCTCTCTTTGACTGAAAACACAAGCAAGGTGTAAGAATAAAATGGATTTAAGGGCATTTCTTCCGCCACAGATCTGAGTGGTTGTACTAAGAATACAATAGTGAATAAGACATTGTCCCTGCCCTCAAACTTGCAACATTTAGACACACATGTCAGCCCCTCCATCTCCTCTTTATCTACACTGTGACCCTATCCTGAAGGAAACACAGGGCTGGCATTACATCTCTGTTGGGCTTTACCATTAGCCAAGCGTAGCAGATAGGTGGGGCAGAGACCCTTTAGGGGCCAAAAGGAATTCAAGAGACGTCTTAAAAGTAACAGTTCTTTCACTCTCCAAGTTGTCAGGTTTTGAACTAAAAATCATTATCCAACCTATTTGTATCCAGCTCTCAAGCTGTTAGCATACGGTGCCTTTTTGCCGATAAAGAAATGTATCCCCTCTAGACAAATTGCATTAACGTGGCCCCTCTGTATACCAGTTAGTGCAAGTCCTGCCTTCCTGCAGGCTGATTTAACCCCTTACCAGGACACCACCTTGAGCACACTGGAGCAGGGGACAGGGATG